ACACACACACACACAGGCATGTGGAGGTTTTGTGTTAAATGTGCTCACAAACATATAAATCAACCAGATCCAGACAACAAACTAAATCCATCAATAACTGAAGAACACAGACTAATATTCAAACCAGCTTCTTTTCTCTCATCTGAACTCGACAATATTTGATATATTTATGTATTAATTAGAGATTAAAAAAAGATATTTCAGAAGCACTTTACTTCAGGTTAGAATCAGGTTTACTCGATAAAATTCAGATGACAATCTTAGAATAAAGTCTATGGTTTGAATTCTTTCCACAGAGTTCTGAGGTCCGTACGGAGACGGTACCATGAGCTGCTGCCTCTGATACGATGTCTGTGCATTAAAGTGAAGGAAGGAGACTCACCTGATGCTGCGACGATTCGCTGTTTGTGTCTCTGACGAATGACGGACGTTTAAAAAGCCTCCACCAGCCAGGAGGTCACGTGACCTGCTGTCGGCGGGGGGTGGTCCTTCGTGTCACCGTGACGACAAGTACGCTGAGATAAATACTGTAGTAATAACAGTACGAATACTGCGGACAGCAGTAGTGGGTCAGAGACGCACAACAAGAAACAGGGAAAACTCAGTAAACAAATCAGCTGGTGCTGACTACAGCGTAAAGAAAAGCTTCATCTGTCCATCACACCTGATACCGACTGAAGCTCACAGCTTTAAAGACTTTCACTGGATTCTCATTCAGACTGGTGGCTCACTGTGTTCATGAGTTTATCCAGCAGCAGAGACAGACAGGTGACTGACGGGTGACGGACGGGTGACAGGTGACGGACGGGTGACGGACGGGTGACGGACAGGTGATGGACAGGTGATGGACAGGTGACGGACAGGTGACGGACGGGTGACGGACAGGTGACGGACAGGTGACGGACGGGTGACGGACAGGTGACAGGTGACGGACAGGTGATGGACAGGTGACGGACAGGTAGATACAGACAACCAATCAAATCCCGCTGGTCAGTGAACTCATCTCTGCCCTTCAAAGCAACCCATCCATCATCTCTACACTTTAATCCTCACTAGAGTCATGGGGGGCGGAGCCTATCCCAGCTGACTCAGGGTGAAGGCAGGTTCACCTGGACAGGTAACCAGTCTATCACAGGGCTACACTTAGAGACAGACAACCAAGCACACTCACATTCACACCTACGGACAATTTACAATCACCAATTAACCTCAGCATGTTTCTGGACTGTGGGAGGAAGCCGGAGAACCCGGAGAGAACCCACGCTGCACGGGGAGAACATGGAGACTCCACGCAGGAAGATCCCGGGTGTCCTCACCGGGATACGAACCAGCGACCTTCTAGCTGTGAGGCCACGGTGCTAACCACTGATCCACCTGCAGCCCCCGATCGCAGCAGCTGATGTTGATTTTCATTGTGTCACTACGATTACGAAGTCGGGTTTTCTTATTCATTTTTATTCATAGATCCCAAAATCACACTATTCACTAACTCACCTCAGAGGATGAACCTAAACGTACATTTAAATTCAGATTTATGTGACATAAATGATCACATTCTCATCATTTAAACGCAAACTGTGGACGTGATTCAGTTTTAATTCAGTCACATGATCCTCGTCTGACACTTTGAAGAAAACTCTCCAGATGTTTCCACTGACTTTAGTGGATTTTAGTTGTCTCAGTATTTTGTAGTAACTTTATTTTGAAGTTTAATCTCAGAGGTTGTTGTTGTTCTGTTTTGTCAGTGTAGCATTTATTTATGTTTTACTGATTCTACAGTTTCATCTGTTTTGCGTCTGTGAGCGTTTCCTTGTTGCCTGTCTTCAGTCAGCTCAGGTTAGTTTAGAACGTACTGGTTAAATAAACTGGATTTGACTGATCATATGCAGATATTAGTTGATTTGTTGATCAGTTCCTGCAGCCTCACAAAGACACACACCCAGTCTTCTCTAGTTCCAGGTGACTGATGGGGACTTTCAGATGTGTCTCCTCATCCTGAATCTGAATCTGCCGAAGGGATCGAAGGAGACCGACAGTCTGAGTGAAGGACGACGTCTTCGTCCAGCTGGAGGCGTCTGGACACAGAGGAGCGCCTGAGATCTACAAAAACACACAAAGTCACAGCAAAAAGACACAAAACCACGAGAAGAAGACAAAAAAGAGAAACGCAAAACAACCACGAAGAGACGCAACCTACAGAGCAGGTAGGAACACCTGGACTGGACCAGGTGAAAGCAGCTGGACATAAACTCAGAGACAGTTGGAAGAGTCTTGTGGACAGTTTTTGGTGGGACAGGTGTCAGCTGTTACCTGTTCACACCTGGACCTGACTCTCAGTGTTCACTCAGTCATTTAAATGTCTCATTTCAACCGAACCAACAGCAAACAGAGCGGAAGAGAAATAATTCTGAAAGGTTCTGTGAGCCTCAGTGAGTTCTGTGATAAAACTTTGGACTGTGTGACGTCTGTGAGGATGACTAAAGCCTGTTGATACCCTTCATGTGTTCACTTCCTGTTTGTGCGGACGTCAGTGATGATCACGTCTGATTGGAGAACATCAGTTCGTTCCTTCAGCTTTCTTCTATTAACCTCAATCTGCTGCTTCGTCCGACCCTTCGTCCTCTTCCTCCTCCTCTTCCTCCGCCGGTTGCAAATATGGCGGCGATTCTCTGAATGGCAACACGCTGATGACATCATGGCTGCACTCAGCACGGCTGCAGGTAACGCAGCCGTAATCTGATGTGTAATATAATAAATTACAGCCCATCAGCAGGTAATCAGCTTAACCAACATGTTTGTCCTCTCATTCACTTCATGTTTCAGCCCCAGCTGTTGCCGTGGTAACAGTATGGAGGTTATTATGGACCTGGACAGGATTCATCTGCACAGGATCTTTCTGAAACTTGTGCAGAAGATCCAGACTCAGTTGAACCCTGACCCTAAACATGAAGGTCCGAGAACTTTACTGTTCAGGTGGCGCTAACGTGAGCTTGTTAGCGTGAGTCATGGTGGACGCTGGGACACCTCCTGCATGTTCAGATACAACTGGACCGATGACAGCAACCTTCTCTCAGAAACTCAGGAACAAATATGGGTCAGTTTTCCAAAAATGTAATTTTCACTGATTGACAGGAACATCGTTTATTGTTCAGCATCAGCAGTTTCACGGTGTGCTGTTGGTGCTGACAAACTGTTTTGCTTCAACAAACGCACAAAGCACACTGACTTCATTCACCTGATTCTGTTTCATTAGCAGGCGCTGCAGCAACAGTTTCAGTCTCACAAATCTGTGAAACTCTCCAGAAAGCAGCCTCCTTCACACACAAGACAAACTGTCAGCTGAGTCTTCATCGTCTCAGAGGTGTGACGGTGGACGGAGTCAGTTCAGGGTTGAATCGGACCCGCACAGTGAAGAAGAAGCTCTGATTCATCACGCAATCTACTTCTAACCTCAGTGAGCTCTGAGGACATCAGAAGAAGGAGAAACCAGCAGCAAACAACCCGGTGATGGAACAGGAGGCGTCCTCAACACAGCACACACAGACACACAACAAACAGACGGGTTAGCAGGACAACAGCTGCTTTTACCTGACATCTACATGAACACTGATGGAGACGCTGCACCAGAGGTTCTGTCATTTTATTTCCTCTGAATTTCAGCACAGCTGCATTTAAAAGCACTGCTTCCTGCAGTACCACCAACCCACAAAATTTAATCTATTGTTTCATGTCCTGGGACATGATTTGCCAACTTTGTCGTGTTCCCCAGCACGGATTTCAAACCAATACATTTCAATTGGAATTATCTTTCGTGTCTGGGACACGTTTTTTTATTTTATTTTTTGCAAATTTTATTTGTAAAGTCAGTCCAAATAAACATGTTCCTCATTAATTTAAACCCCTAAATGCACCTTAGGGTTTATGTTTCACCCTCCATTTAGGAGAAACGGCTATTTCAAAGAAAGAACTACAACTTCCAGTAGCGTTACAATGCAGCGTGATTGGACACGCCATGAAATATGTAGTTCTTCTTGGGGTTTACAGCTAGGGCTGTGTTTTCATATTAATAGACTAAAATAAACAGATTGAAGTCCTGACCAATGTGCTACTGTTTAAGCATAATACGTGTAGTATGAAATAAGTGTAACAGAGTACATCATATTGTGGTATTTTATGTGTTTTATTACATCGGCAGCGTTTGGGGGAAATTTGCGCTTGTTGCTAAGGCAACCCTGTTAGCGTCCGCGCGCAGCCTCGCCATGGACCCGACAGAGATCTGTCCTATAGGATCTGTAATGTTTTTGTGTGTACAGTAGGTGGCAGTGATGCACCTGACCGTTGGATACCAACCGCCAAATCAATAGACGAAGAAGCAGCAGCAGCAGCAGCAGCTAGGCTAGGCTAGGCTAGGCTAGTAGCTAATGCAGCCAGCCTTGACGAGCTAGCTAAAAGCGGCACAAAGCTGCAGGTACATTCCCCACCGCTGGCCTCTCAGTTCCAACAGTCAGACTATCCATGGCTGTGATCACAGAACATGTTCTGGTCCGTTTCCCTGCATGTGTCCTTCTGTTCAGAGTTGTATTCGTTTACAGAGAAATGAAAGTAACGACGAGCATGTAGCCCAAACACAGCAAAAGCATCGATATTTGATCACAAATAAACGATAATAGCTCTGAACGATATGGTTGGATCACTGTCAGAGCGACCTCAGAGCAGCTTCTCTCTGCCTGGATATGTTTCTTGTCTTTTCTATTAATGAATACGGAGCTTACAGCAGCTGGAGCACACGGTACCGGGTCAGCGCCGGTGTTTCCAGAATGTTAGTGTTGGTCAGTGTGGGCCACACATCTGTACAGTGACCTCTGTAGTTATTAGTGTGGACGGACCAGAACAGGAGAACTGGTGAATGCTGATGTGGGAAGAAAAGAACGACAAGAACATCCCAGCATATGTCTGATGGGAAAACGTGTCCCAGACACCAAAGATAATTCCAGTAGACATGGACTGGTTTGCTGGGGAACATGAGAAAGTCGGCAAATCCTGTCCCAGGACACGAAACAATAGATTACATTTTGTGACTATTTTACAAATTGCCGTGAGACTGAGTTGGTGCCACACAATGTGGACAAAAGACTTTGACAGGATTTTGTTTTTGTCCCTGTAGCTTTGTTGTGTCTCTTTGTGGTGGTTTTGTGTCGCTTTGTGGTGGTTTTGTGTCTGTCTGCAGTTGTTTTGTGTCTGCTTGCGGGTGTATGTTGATGTGTCTGTGTGACACTGAGCTGCTGCGTTACAGACACACACATTTGAAGTTTTCTCTCAGCAACAGTTCAGATACAAACTCTGCGATGACTCACGCTCACCTGACTGATATCGATGCGCTCTCTCTCTGTCGCTTTCTTCTAACGCGCAGACAGCATTAATAGATCAGCCACAGTAGTCGATCCCAGAGATTCCCGTCACCCGGAAATCAGCTGCGTGCAGACCGTGACCCGCGCAGGGTCCGAGCCGGAGCTCTCAGTCATGGTCTTCGAGTCGGTGGTCAGCGACCTGCTCAACAGGTTCATCGGAGACTACGTGGAGAACCTGGACAAGTCCCAGCTGAAGATCGGCATCTGGGGAGGTGAGCAAAGCGGCTAGCTAGCAGGACGCACGGACAGAGGCCAAAGTCTGTTCATAAACTGCGCAATTTCAAATCTGCATCCCTCAGAACAAATACAATAAAACCTAAAACATGTCGAAAAGTCCAGTACTGGGCAACGGAGTCTACTCTGAAAGTCGGCGTTACTCTGAACCACGAATCAGTATTTTTTTTCGGATAATATGCAAACTTGAGTCCGAGCTCCGCCACATCTCCACCTTCACACACGTTAGGGAAAGGCTGCTCGTTGTGGTGCTTCTCAGGGTGAGATTTTGTTCATGAGAGAACCTGCCGGTGATTTAACGTTCACCGAACTCCAGTCGGCCTCACTGAGACCAGAACAGACACACAATCCTGCGTGGATAGGTTCAGCTCTCACCTACGACTCGCTCACCTTAAATTGACAGATTATCGAACGAAGTCTGGTGTGATAACCTCACCTTCACACAGCGCCAGTAACAAGGAGGTAGACTCCACCTGTACAGGTGAGTCCGATCAGGCTGCATTCACGGACACTGAAGGGTTACTGAGAGAAACAGGAGGGACAGTTAGCCTGCAGCTTATCAGCTTAACACACACACACACACACACACACACACACACACACACAGACAGACAGACAGACACGCCTCCCTCACTAGTCTCCTTCTAGTACCTCCTTCAGAGGAGTCATAGGAGTCCTGGTGTCCTCCCTCTCTAGTCTCCTTCTTGCTGGTCACTCAGTCTCTGAGGACGTCCTGCTCCAGTCAGATCTCCTCATGCTCCATGTTCCTTCCATGTCCTAATGATGGATTTAACTGGACTCCAGAGATGTTCAGTGACTTGGAAACGTTCTTGTATCGTCTCCTGACTGATGCTTCTCAAGAACCTTTTCTCAGAGCTCTTGGAGGGTTCTTCAGTCTTCATGGTGTAGCTCTATCCAGGAGTACTGATCCACCAGTGACTGGACCTTCCAGATTAGATGAGATAGAACTTTATTGATCCCTTTGGTAGCTCAGGGACATTGTTGTTCTAGCAGCAGCACAGCACCGACAGAGACAGTAGCACACATCGGTTAAGAAAAAAAAGCAGTAAACAAAGGAAACAAAGGAAACAAACTGTTAGAACAGCAGCACGGTGTGATGATAATAATAATAATAATAATAATAGTAGTATGCTATATAATAGATAACAATCAGCGTAGTTATAGGTAAATATAGTTGAGTATATAAAATATGAAGGTGTATCAGACACACACACACACACA